TATAGGCACGTGCTATGAGTGACGCAGACAGCACACATGAACACGAACACATGCTGAAATGAGTGCTGTGCCTGCTTGTGATGAGGAGATTGTGAATAAAGAATGAATATTAGTCGAGTTTAAAATAAACATTTGCATTTGAATGTTAGGTGTGCATCAGGGAGCGTCACGTTGTTGCATTTTAATGTTTTGTTAGTCTAGCCCACGAGATGTGCCGCTGTTGTGTTATGCATTCAAAATATTAGAGAAATATAGAAGCTCAATGCGGAGAATATCTTGATTAGTTGAAAACCGAAACTAAGCTATTCACTGAGATTTTTAGACGGACAAATAGGACTGCTGCACTCGCGTCTCACACAAGAGATGTAGCCATGTGAATTTAAAACAGTTTACACTTGTAGAAAAAAACGTCGCGAATTTGTGGAGGTTTATTCCCTTTTCACTGCGTCTCTTATGTTTTTAAATGCAATCTGTGTGAATGGCGCTTCGGCTCTTTGGACTAAGCAATGCATAAATACATGATGCTGTTTTGTTCATAATTGTTTATGCAATTTACGAAATTATATTTGATTTATACGAGTTAATTTAGACGTAATGCAAGTTTTGTTTATAGACAGTTATTTCTTTGCGTTGACAATTTAAATGTGCTGCATTATTTTGCTCATTGCTCCCTCCTGTGGCCTCGGGAGACAAGACAAAATATTCCATGAGACCTATTTAATCTGCATATAACACATTAGAAATTAGATATTTGTTTAATTTTATTGTGTGTTTAACTGTTAGAACAAAAAAAAAATGTGTTGGTTGTCTCAATAAATTGGGTTAATTTAAAAATACAGTGGTTAAATAAAAAAAAATTCTATAGCTTTGTTTTAAAAAAGGTTATAAAAAATGTCAATAATTATCGATACTGAACGATATGAAACATTATATCGTTGATAAATTTTTTAGCTATATCGCCCAGCCCTACAAGAAAATCACAATAATTAACATTTTGCTCAAATGGAGGAGACAAGACAAAATATTCCATGAGACCTATTTAATCTGCATATAAAACATTAGAAATTAGAAATTTGTTTAATTTTATTGTGTGTTTAACTGTTAGAACAAAAAAAAATGTGTTGGTTGTCTCAATAAATTGGGTTAATTTAAAAATACAGTGGTTACATTTTCTATTGCTCTTTTTTTTTTAAAAAAGGTTATAAAAAATGGCAATAATTATCGATACCGAACGATATGAAACATTTTATCGTTGATACATTTTTTTTGTTATATTGCCCAGCCCTAGGTGCAGGCCATCAGCGCGAAAAAGCCTAGGACGCTCTCAGAAAAGATTCCAATTATTAACAAAGAGCAGTTTCTGTTCTTTACACCATGACAATAACCATTCATTTAAAGCAAAAAGTCTACTGAACCTTTCGTGTCCTCGTCGATACGTGGGAAGCGGTCCTGACACGATGATCGCCGTCGCGGGCGATGTGCTGCGCACCGTCTCGATCAGGCTCCTGAAGTCCCTCTTCAGTGTCTCCGTCTGCCGCAGCATGGTGTTGTTAATGATGCTGAAAATTCAGCTTTGATCACAGAAATCAATTACATTTTAACATATATTCACAAAGAAAACAGCTGTTTTAAATTGCAATAATATTTCACAATTTTTACTGCGTTTTTGATCAGCCTGGGTGAGCAGAAGAGACTGTGTGAGATTTGTTTTGAGTTTTCTAAACGGCTGCATTCTGTATCACACAGCAGACAGCTTTTTCTTCAATCGTTGGATAATTTAATGAATTATGCAGTGTGTTTGGACTAACCCGCGCATCTGCGCTCAGAGGGAGGCCGTTTTAATCTCCACAAACACGAGCGCCGCAGAGACGCGACGGGATCCTATTCAGATGTCATAACACCGAAATTTCACTCATTTGCTTGTATGTTATTCTGGAGAGCACGCATGTAGTTCACTCCCCTCAAGCCGTGTGTGTATGTGTGTGTGTGTGTTGTTTCTGAAAGTAGATAATGTGCTGACGCTGGTGTATCTTTGCTTGCTGTGCCGATCTCTCGTGATTGACTATAATGTCGTCTGTGACAGAAGCCAGTGGAGGGAAATCAATTTCTCTCACACACACACACACACACAGAATCACATCAGCTCTGCGTCCTATCAGCGTGACCTTCCACCAGGTCATAGTCTTCCTCCATTTCTCAATGTCTTCAGCTGATTCATGAAGATGTGATTGTAAAGCTGAGCGTGAAGACAGGCATTCTGGGTCCTCATTCGCTTTCATTACATGAATACCTGAAATTTCACTCATTTGCTTGTATGTTATTCTGGAGAGCACGCATGTAGTTCACTCCCCTCAAGCCGTGTGTGTATGTGTGTGTGTGTGTGTGTGTGTTGTTTCTGAAAGTAGATAATGTGCTGACGCTGGTGTATCTTTGCTTGCTGTGCCGATCTCTCGTGATTGACTATAATGTCGTCTGTGACAGAAGCCAGTGGAGGGAAATCAATTTCTCTCACACACACACACACACAGAATCACATCAGCTCTGCGTCCTATCAGCGTGACCTTCCACCAGGTCATAGTCTTCCTCCATTTCTCAATGTCTTCAGCTGATTCATGAAGATGTGATTGTAAAGCTGAGCGTGAAGACAGGCATTCTGGGTCCTCATTCGCTTTCATTACATGAATAAGAGCTGTATTTTATCGCTCAGTATCTTCACGTGAAAATCAAGAACGAAAGTCATACAGGTTTGAAGCGACATAAGTAAATTATTACATATTTTGGTAACTTTTCTATTCACGTATTTGTAATTTTAACCAAACTGTAGTTAAGTACAGTCAAAATGTTTAATGAAAGTAGTAAAATACAGTAAAAATTTGATTAAAAATAATCAAATGCATCTTTTTCACACTGTTTTTACTTAAATGCAAGGAAGAGCATATTTAATTCACTTTATATGAATTATTATTATTACTATTAATATTATTATAGTTTTTATTTATTAGTTTTTATTAATATTTTGAATTAGATTTTGTATTGATTTCAGGTTTCACTTTAATTTTAGTTTATTTCTAAATATTCTGTTTGTATTTTAGTTTTTTATTTCAATGCAAGTAGTAAAATACAGTAAAAATCTGAATAAAAATTATCAAATGCATGTTTATCACATTTTTTCTTTAAATAAATGTTTTTTTATTAATATTTTAAAATATCTTTTGTTTTTATATTTCAGGTTTCATTTTTAAACAATAAAAGTATTTTGATAAGACAATAAAAGTGCTTTTGTTTCAGTTTAATTTCCGTTAGTATTTTAGTACTTGAACTTCAACCTATTAAGCAAAGGCAACAATTTTTTTCCATCTAAAATGTATATTTAGTTAACACTATAAACATGTTTCTATCTAACTATCTAAATAACATCTGGTTTAATGTCACAGCCATTTAAAGCAAACTAGCGTTTCTGGAGTGATGTGATGTACACGTTTTCTCATCTTTTTCTCATCGTGTCTGTCTTCTGCGTTAGCTTTGGGTTTTCACATCGCTCTGATCTGATTTCTGTAGAAACGGATTTTCCTTTGTGTTTAATGCTTCTCTCAAACAGTCCTGACAGGTCAAATAAATCCATCAGAAACTGTTACTCCAGTGTTTGATGAAACCCGACGCTGTATTTTTAGCATCATCGTGTTGAAACCGCATGAGGCAGGAGAGAATGTGATCATTTGTTTTGTCTGCAGGTTTTATTTGGTGAGTGCAGGAGTTCCCTTCATCATCTGCGGCATCACAGCAGCTATCAGCATCGAGAACTACGGCAGCGGAGAGCAGACGCCGTTGTGAGTAGCAGCTAAATCAGTCCGATGTGTTCTTAGACAAGTTTGTTTGACACTCTTTCATATATATGAGTCACTTAAAGTATCTTACTACATATTAAATATGGCCAAACTGTTCAAATGAATTGAATGACGCATGCATGTAGATCTGTAACCAACACAGACTTTGAATGGGACCCGACCCTCCATTCAGAGTAATGCTCAGCCACTATGACTGATTCTTAAACTTTTATTATGTAATATTTGGTTGCATTCTTGCATGCATAAAAGTGTCCATAAGTCTGAGACCTCTAGTGAAGATTTTAGTTATGTACTATTATTTTTGTTTAATTTTAGTTTAAGTAATTTTGCTATGTGCTTTTGTAATTTTTATTAGTTTTTTTTATATTTCTGTATAGCTTTATTTTTATTTCCGATTTAGTCATTTTAATACTTCAACTTTAATACTAAAACTTATTTCAGTTAGTCGTAAAGTCAACATTTATTTTTTCATTAGGGTTAAGTTTTTAGTTTTTCATCTAATATTTTTCCCCCAGCTTTATTTCAATTACTGAAAACAATTTTTAAGTTTTAGTTAAAAACAACAACACTGAAGACGCTTCTATTTCGCATTTTAATTAATTTATTTGTATCTTTGCAACACTGATAAATATACAATCTGTAAAGTTGATCAGTTATGAAACAAATTAAATGTAATTTTAAATTTTAGTTTCAGTAATTTTGTGATTTTGCTTTTATAATTTTATTAGTTTTTTATATTTCTATATAGCTTTATTTTCAGTTCAGATTGAATCATTTTAGTACTCGACAAGGCAACATTTCTATTTCATTTTCATTAGGGTTAAGTTTTTCATCTAATTTTATTTTAGCTTTATTTCAATTACAGAAAACAATTTTTAAGTTAACAATAATAACTCTATTTTGCATTTTCATGAATTAAATTTATCTGTATCATTGCAGATTGTATATGTATCAATGTTGCAAAATGTATCAATTATGAAACAAATTCAATTAATCTATAAAGTAGCTCCAAAAAATACAGTAGTGTCAATATTCATCTTCGTTCAGTTCAAGTTTTGTTCTAATCCGATGTCAGTGTCAGTGCTGTCAAATTGCTAAAATCTGAATGTTGAGTGACCAGAATATGATCCTTAATTAGATAGCATGCATGGAAACATGTTCAGAAATGTTTATTTCCTGTGTTTGCAGCTGTTAGTTTTTATTAATATTTTGAATTAGATTTCGTATTGAGTTCAGGTTTTGTTTTTGCTTTTGTCATTTTTATTAGTTTTTATATATATATATTTCTAAATAGTCCCTTTGCATTTTAGTTTGTTTAATTTCAATGCAAGTAGTAAAATACAGTCAAAATCAGAATAAAAATAATCAAAGGCATGCTTATTACAGTTTTAAATATAGTTTTTTAATTAATAATTTGAAATATATTTTATTTTTATTTTTCAGGTTTCGTTTTTTAAACAATAAAAATATTTTTATTAATTTTTTTAATTAGTTTTAGTTTTAATATATTAGTACTTCAACTTATTTAGCAACAATTAATATTTAATATTTATATTTATATATATTTAACACTATAAGCATGTTTATATCTATCTAAATAACATCTAGTTTAATGTCACAGACATTTAAAGCAAACTAGCATTTCTGGAGTGATATCATACACGTTTTTCATCTTTTTCTAATTTTGTCTGTCTTCTGTTTTGGGTTTTACACAACACTCTGATCTGATTTCTGTAGAAACTGATTTTCCTTTGTGTTTAATGATCCTTAATAAAATAGCATGCATGCAAACATGTTCAGAAATGTTTATCTCCTGTGTTTGCAGCTGTTGGATGGCGTGGGAGCCGAGTCTGGGCGCCTTCTACGGCCCCGTGGGCTTCATCGTCCTAGTGACCTGCGTCTACTTCTTGTGCACCATCATCCAGCTGCACAAACACCCCGAGCAGAAATACGAGCTGAAGGCGGTGAGCGAGGAGCAGCAGCGGCTCTCTGACGTCCACCAGGGGGAGCCGGCGAGCGGACAGTGTCACGGCGGCTGCCCAGGGCTCATCAACCCATCCACGCTGGCCAACGAACACTCGTTTAAAGCCCAGCTGCGGACGGCGGCGTTCACGCTGTTTTTATTCACAGCCACGTGGACGTTCGGCGCGCTTGCCGTTTCGCAAGGCCACTTTCTGGATATGATCTTCAGCTGCTTATACGGGGCTTTTTCCGTCACGCTCGGGTTGTTCGTTTTGATTCATCATTGCGCAAAACGCGATGATGTCTGGCACTGCTGGTGCGCATGCTGTCCCGGGCGACGCCCTCCCAACACATGCCACGCCCACACCCACGGCCACACCCACAAACTCAACATAAACGGCGACGCCCACTCCCACTGCCATCTAGATGGTGGGAAACCTGTTCACTGCGCATGTCGTGCCGCCGCGCAAAATCACGTGACCTGCCTGACGCCGGTTTCACCGTGTTGTGCCGCTCTGCATTCGCAACAGCTCCTAGAAGACGAAACAAGCGCGCATGTGCTTCTCCACGCCGACCATGACGGTTACCGACCCGCCGTACGATTGCACCGCTGCTCCAAACCCGTCAGGACTAAAACAAGGCGCCAACGTGAACTAGCATTGCGCATTCCCACTGGAGCGGACGCCATTAGCGCGCACAGCTCGCGTGCTAACAGCCCACATGCCCACATTTGCCACTTGGCTCACGAAGTTTGCCCTCACGAGGCGCTCACGCTCTGCCACCATCATCATCACATGTGCTGCGCAAAAGACGAGCTCCTCGACGTGGGCGAGAGCTTTCTGTGCGGGAAACTCGCGGAGGACGATTTGCATCACGCGCATATAGAGCTGCACGCCCGCAGACAGTCGCTGGCCAATCAGAACGGCATCCTGAAGGGAAACGCGCTGTATCCGTCCGACATCACGGGGAATATACGCACCGGACCCTGGAGAAACGAAACTACCGTGTAGTTCGACCGAACTCCAACACTTCTTAGGATTTAAGAAAGGAACTTTTTTTAGTACCATCCCAAGCTCTTTCCTGCATCATTCATCCTACAGGATGATTCTGCGGATCGTACAAATGCGAGAACGAAAAACCCGGGGCCTCATTTATAATACACATATATACAAGTTGAACTCCCACAAATATATCTTTATGTAAGATGTACAGCCATCATCAATGGGCAAGGAAATCATTTTTATTATTTTAAGGAAATAATTTTTTTATGGAATACCATTTTTTTGTGTTTTTGTTTTGTTTTGTTTTAGGGAATATTATTTTATTTTATTTTAGGGAAATCATGAATAATTAATTAATTTCAGTGACATAACTATTGTCTAAACATAAAGCAGTTAAAATGTTGCAGAAAACATTTGCAGTTATAATAAAAAAAATACAGTTATACTTTTTGATAGTCCACTTTAGACATTCTACTAACTATAAGTAACTTTGCAACTACATGTCTACTAACTCTCAGAATAGACTTAGGTTAGGGTTAGGGTTAGTAGAATAAGTTGACATACTTGCAAACATTCTCATAGTCAGTATGTTGTGGACTTATCAAAATAAAGTGTTAGAAGATATTAAGCAGACAGTCTACTAATACTCTAATAACTGCTAGATGACGTAGTTGCAAACAGTGTTAATTTTGACAGCAAATTTAGATTTTAGACTTTCGATTAAAATGCCATTTAGTTTTAGTCATATTTTAGTCATCTGAATTGTTTTTAGTTTTAGTCGACTAAATATCATAAGATTTTAGTCGCCTAAATCTACAGTAAATTTAGTCGGCTAAAATCTAATGGGTTTAGTTACAGTGTAATGCATTTATTAAGCATTTCTCTAAAATTTCCAAACTCATTATATAGGTTGATATTAAGGTTTTATCATGATAGACACCGATTTATCTGCTGTGACACACAAGATGCCTTTGTGTTAAAATTAAATAAAACCACGTCTCAAAGAACAAGAACATGGTCTTCTTTTTAATGAAATACCAATGGTTATACAGACTAATTATGCAGTCTTTATAGAAACTTGTTTACCATATTCTTCATTCTTTCAAGCAGACATATTTATTTCTATAAATAAATTTAGATTAATCTTTAGGGCTACTAAAGTTTTTCAGTCAAGAGCAGTGCGTGATTTTCTGGCTTTCTGTTGTTGCTTGATTAACATCAATGGCTCGGACAATAGCAACTAAATTAGGCTGCTGTCCCTTTAAAACCGAATGCACAGCTGCAATGCATGCAATGTACTGATACACATTCTCCCCAGTGTTTACGTTCACTTAAGACATAATTAACTGTGTTTACGTGAACACTCGTTAAAACGGACAATTCAACATCATTTTGTGTGTAATTCTCCGTTCATGCGACGCAAAAAAATTAAATTAACACTGGTTGCAAAGTTACTTACTGTTAGTAGAATGTCTAAAGTGGGCTATCAAAATAAAGTGTTACCAAAAATACTTTTATTTATAATATTATAATTTTTTTTTCAGGAATATAGTGTGTATAAGCATACTGTATACACACACACATCTATACGTTTACATAAAAATGTAAACGTTAAACATATATAACATTTTAACATGTATGCATTAATATATATATATAGACACACACTGTATTAATGATTTCCTGTGGTGGTGGGGGGGGGGTTATAAGATATACATCTGGAATAATTCAGGAATTATTAATTAATGAATTAATTTCAGTGACATTATCATTTGTGCATATAACAATATAAATGCATAAAGTTATTGCCTATTTATCTTTTTATTTTTATAATCGGTTTTAGATTAGTTTTATTTGTGCACAAGCACGGTTGTGCACGGTTGGTGTACACATTTTCACATCAGTTTCTGTTTTGTTTTGTTTTTTGACTGTGAAATCCATGAGGTTTCAGATCATGTGTGTGTTTGATTAATGAGGCTTCTGGTTTGAGTCGGAGCGCGTGTTGATTGGCCGCGTTCACACTGCACTTCAATCCGGAGTCACTCCTCTTACGGGAGTTTAATGTGGTTCTGATGAAGTTTGATTACAACCGATACTGAACCGAACTGGTTGTCAGTCCCCAGTCTCTGCAGTGTTTACGTGGCCATTGCATTCATACCTTTACCAGGTACAGGTACATTTATCACTCCGGGTAACAGACATTGCCATAGTGAGTGTGTGTTACTCCGTGCAGGAGTGTGTGCAAACGCAGTTTATTAAATATTTTGCCATATATTTATTTTCATAGATGTATTTGAGAGTCCCACAAATGAGTCCCAATCATTTCTACAGTAGAAAACTTCCAAATACATGAAAATTCACCAGCAGTTTTAAACCATCCGTGCTCCTCATGCTTAATATATACTGTGAATATCAACTAGCGAAAACTTAGTAATACACAAAAAAAGGCCTGCTTCTGTCTAACTTCTGCTCTGCCGTTGAAATGTGCGATGTAAACAGACAAAGAAGCTCCGTTTCAAATCCTAGTGAGCTGCTCATCCAGACAGCATTCAGAAGACTAGGCTACGTGTTCATGCTGCCTTACTGTAAGGAAGCATTAGAGAGAAGGACATCCCAGAATGCATTGCTGCGAACATTCGAAAATGCGTAAAATTTCAATTTAAGATTTAGATATTTGAATTGGATATAAAAAATGCCATGCATTTGGATTACAGCGTTTTAACGTTAAACATGTGAAGTGATGCATAATTGTCAGTCATATATAAATGAAACGGGTCAGATTTCTGTAATAGTACGATAACTATTTTAAATACACAATAACCAGCTTTATCAATAAATCCGATTCGTTTCAATCTCATGCATTTTAACTAATTGAATACTGCTTGTTCCACAGCTAGTCATATTTTAACCACGTTCATACTTTTTAACGGAATTAATTTAATTGATTTCACAATGACCAGATTTATTTATTTATTATTATAAATGTATTTATTAATATTTAAATACAAATCAAATAGTTATGGGATTAATATAGTCTGCAGTTATATTAATATATATTAAATATTAGTCTATTTTAGGAATATTTTAAGATGTATTATGTTTATTTATTTATTTATTTTGTGCTTAATGGTCATGACAATAATGAAAGTGCAAAAGATCACAATTAACAATAGAGCAAAGTGCTTTACAAAGCTCCTTTAAAAGAGCTATACAAAACATTATTATTATTAATTGTTATTATTATTATTTATTATATGCAATTCAAAAACATAAACATTAAATTTAGGCCTACATATTTTTTGCAAGGTTTCATCAGAGTCGGCAGATGGTAAAGCGAAAAAATAAATATATATTTAACATAACAATAATGCCACAGTGCAAAACATCACAATTATGTATTGCACTTTAATATGCAATTCAAATGCATAAATGTGTTTTTGCGTGGTCTGAGGCGGTGAAGCGGCTCACTCGGTTGTGTAACGGAGCGAAAGCGTCTCTCTAGTTGTTCTATTACAGATCTGTGCTGCTGACTCTTTACTGTTTCTATGGTGAATCGCTGTTGTCGTCAAGGAGACGTGGTTTGTGCGAGGACATCATCACTGTGCTTCTAGACGGAAAGATGACAGTGATTCGATGCTTGTGATTGATTGGTCTGCTTCACATCACAACCTGCAGAAGAAAGACTAGTAAAGCACTTCACCAGACTCGTCTAGCTGAAGGAAGCGAGCGACTGGGATCCTCACGCTGTTCTTCATCTGACATGAAGCTGATGTCTGTGTGCTTGCCTCACGTTCTTCAAAACATTACATTTGGAAAGAGAGAATCTCGGAAAATCTGTCAAAAACATATCCCGGTCATATTTCACCCCTGAATAATAAAAAAAATAAATAAATAACAACAAAAAATAAAAACAACAAAACAACAAAAATAATAACATGAAGCCTGTTTTAGGAATAGTTTAAAATTTATTATTTTCATTTATCTCTATTTTTTATTCTATTTTAATATTTATTATTTTTATTTGTGCATTTATTTGTCATTTATATATATATATGAAAAGCCTTTTTAAGGAATTCTTTAAGGTTGATTAATTATTATTATTATGCTTAATTGATAGAAGATCACAATCCATAATCAAAAGACATATATATATATTATTAAAGAAAATGATATTTTGATATATTTTAAGATTTATTATTTTTGTTTTTGTTGTGCTAAATTGTCATGACAAAGGTAACATATATATATATATATATAATATTTTAAGATTTATTATTTTTATTTGTTAGAATTATTAATTATATTAATTGTCATGACAATAAAGACACAATCCAAAATCAGAAGAAAAAAAATTTTATTAAAGAAAATTAAGCCTTTATTTTTAAATTATAGTTATTTTAAATTAGATATATTAATTTTTTGTGTGCTTAATTGTCACGGCACTGAAGACAACTAAAAATATTTAATATTTATTACATTTATGTATATATATATATATATATATATATTTTTTTTTTTTCAGCTTAATTGTCATGACAATAATGACACTTAAAGATTTTACTTCTTTATGAATTGAATGAAAAATGTGGCCTGGACATGTTTTTTGAGATTCTCCGCTTTCCGTTTAAATTTGCCTTTCAGATGATCAAATGGAAAAGTTTCCTCTCGAGGAAAAGCAACAGGTTCGGCAGCATTTAATGCACCGTTTGACAGAAAAGAGTTTAATTTCACGCCTTCCTGTTTCCTCTGAAGTGCTGCGCTCTGATTGGCTGTCCTGGTTTGGGCCGCCCATCAGCTCTTTTATTTTCTGTTTCCATGCACCACAGATTGAGATAATAAATAATGAAGGATATTTAAATGAGGAATGATGTGGGCGATCTTTACGCTGTCTCTGGTTTATTGCTCAGTATCTGAGTTCAGGCGTTTTGTTTGTTTTCATGCATCTGTCCGTCTGTGTTACGCAGGATTGTGGATCTACATTGTGAGAGTGAATCAGAAGGTGCTGTATGCTGTTATGAGAGACAAACCACAATTATAACTCAATTCTGTTTAACTGTATGCCTGCACTCCTTTTGTTATTAATGCTTCACGTGTTTGACTTTTAACAGCAGTGACGGAGTCTCTCACCAAAAGAGTCAAATATCGAATTATGGACCTTATTCAGGACCATATTTAATTTTTCGTTGAAAGTCTGCGAGCCGAAAGGGTTGAACTCTTTTTAG